ACGGACAATATCAGTAAAGATTACAGCGACTTTTACCTTCTGTAAAAAGGTCACGCAAAATTACCTCAGGTAAAACTAATCCCATGCAAATAGACCCGTAAATATGTGTAACCCCTGACCCTGACAAGTATGGAGGCACTTGAAAAAGCATTCATTTGCGTTCTAGGCAATGGGTCTCAAATGTTTTCCTCATACCATTCAGATCAAAAAGAAGGTCTAAAGCACTTGCCAGAGGCACGAAACTTCTTTTAGCGTCAGGTAATAGGCCTATTACCAACATAATCCAATCTGAATTGAATTAATACGTAATATTGTTCGACCGGGCCTAACTGTTTTATATAAATATAGGTTATATGTGTTTTCGCACATGATATCAGGAAGCAACGCAATACGCACATGACGAGTGACGGCGGTGCGTAAATCGAGTTACTCTCCCACTTCTGCTAGTTTTACTGAGATATCTTATCCCGTGCGAATAGGGCTTTACACCTGAGGAAGAGGCATCGACTTGCATGATGAATGGGAGACTCAGGATGCACAAGGATGGGAACACTGGTGAAGGCATCCTTTACTGTTTAAAGTCAGACGAGGCTTGGGTTTTCCAGGACAGAGACTTGGGTTTTGCATGCAGGAGGGAGGCGAGTGGAGCTCTAGTATGGTGGATGGTAATTATATAGCTTACACATTCCTCTGGTACATGTGTACCCCTCAGGACTGATATTATAGCAGAAAAAATGGATCAAAGTCTGCTGAAACTCACACTTCTCCATTTTGAGGAACAGACGATGCTCCCGCCAGCCTTTGCCGGACCCGAAGTCAAGGAGAGCTATAACTATGAGAGGTGCTGTAATGTAGGCGCTGGTCACTGTGAGTTTAGTACACAAGGGTGTGTATTACAAGGAGAGTATGAATGGACCTAACAGTACAGTAAAGGTGTTAACAGGAAAGTGCATAGGATCCTCTTCTGGTTCTGGAGAGTAGTGGCGTGTGCATTTGGGTGTTGATGAAGGCAGAGCTCGATGAAGCTGTTCAACCAGTTCCTCAATAGCATCGGTGAAGTGGACGTCCCTGTAATGATGTTGGTGTGGTCTTCTGTCACAGACGCATCGATTCACAGAAGATTATTTCAATAGCAGGGTTTATTGACAGTTGGGTGGGAAGACATACAGGAACACAGATGAGTAACAGATTCAATGTAACTGCCTTGTTCGCTGGAGAGTCAAGCCAAGTCAAGTCACCTTTATTTATATAGTTCTTTTTACAATACAGATTGTTTCAAAGCAGCTTTACAGGAAAATAATGCAAAAAAGTTTGTTTTGGCTATACAGCAGATCTAGAAGAAAATAGGGTCACAGTCCAGCTTAAGTAAGTTCAGTGATGATTATATTTTGTTGTAAAACATTATTAATTTAGTTCATTTATCTATACAGCTGCTCTTGAGAAAACCGTGATGTCATCGTCCAGCTCAGTTCAGTTCTCATAATGGTGTCAATCCAGGCAGATTAATAATATTGTTGAATATTAAATGTCCCCAACTAAGCAAGCCAAAAGCCAAAGGCGACGGTGATAAGGAACCCAAACTCCATCAGGAGACGGAATAGAGAAAAAAACCTTGGGAGAGTCACACAAGGAACAACACAATTGGAAGAGTACACAATTATTTAATTAAAGCCTCAACTCAACTCAAATTTATTTATAAAGCATTTCCAAAACCATAAGAATGGACCAAAGTGCTGTACATGAATAGCAAAATTAGTACAAACATAAAATAAGACTAAATCACAACAACAATCAAGTCATCCATTATATACCAAATCACTCATATTTCTCTAACCTAATCGAACGCCCAAAACCAGATGAAATAAGTATTTAGATCACTTTTGAAAGTGTCCATACTTGATGAGGATCTTATAGAAAAGGGCAGGATCTTCAACAGCAAAGGCTTGATCTCCTCCACGCCTCCAACACGACTGGGACAGTTAAACACATACTCTGAGAGGAACGCAAGAGTCTTTGAGATTGGTAGTAATATATTATGAAATGGATACAGCAGTAGTAGGACTCCCTCTACGTGTTTGGCCTATAATATGATTAGCTTATTAAATTTGCCATAAGAACATTTCTCCGAGCCGGTACTAATGTAATCTCAGATGCTTTTAGGCTAATCAGTTTATCGGTTCTCTGAGTGTCTGCCAGGTTAGATTTTATATTTATATTACAACCTCCACTTCAGGCATACAGACTTCAAGGACAGTTTCTTTAGTCTCATCATGGGGGCAATTAGCATCACGCTGGTTCCCTTGACAAAAACCCAAAAGGATTTTTCCATAGGATTTTGGATTATTGCTAAAAAAAAAGCTCTATGATCAACAAACGTTTATG